ACTCCTAGAATGAGATCCTAATAGGTTGGACTTGATGGACTAATGTCTTTATTCAACCTCAAATACTATGTAACTATGTAAATACTTTCTAGTTACTTTATGAATACTTTTAAAATACATTTTTTTTTTTTTTACACCACTAATTGCACCCTGTTCTTTGAATAGGGTACTAACGACTCCTGTCAAAATAACATGATTACTTTTGTTTAACCATCTTCCCAGGAATCGTTTACTATTTTTTGTAGGTGTTTTGTTGTGGGACGGTTTCTCCAGCCAGAGTGCTCCTTTAAGGTGTCCTCTAGAGTTCCCTTCTGATTGTTCGCTGGATGCACTTTACTTACCGGTGCACTAACGAACATTGTCAGAACTAATATAGTTTTCTGACGTTCTGATTACCTTTTGTCCGTTGTTTGATGCCAGTCAGACATAGCCATGAGAAAAGATATTTACATTGTTACAAATATGTGTTTAAAAAGAGCCAGTATTGAGCAGCGGCTCGGAAATCATACTAATGAAGAACCTGAATCTTATTAATGTTTTCGTTAAGAAGCTATTTAAATCACCTGTACCTGATGAATACCACACGCCCCTCTGAGGAAGCCCCGTTTGCTTGGGGAAACGCGTCAGTGATAGCGTGTTACCTGCCTCTCTGATGACCCATCGCCTTATCGTTACGTCTGTCGGACTAAGGAACCCCTGCTACACTTGATTGCAGTGAGCGAGGCTCGCATATACAGCACAGCAATAACACTCAGCAATAGCACATAGTACCGGCTTTTGATTTGGGATCGAGTGGAGCCGACTTATGCTTACTTTTCTGTCTGCAGTGAAGCCTGCGACTGAGTGCCGCTCTGGACACACTACCCTTGGAGTACCATCCGTCCCTGTGCCAACGTGCGGCCGCACCTATAAGGGAAACCTTTGGGCCGTCTCTCACACATGAGGTTAGAGGTGCAGCCTTTCGGGTGATGTATGCTCCAGGATCAATTATGAGAAAAGCTGTGTAATCCTTCAAATTTATAACAAACAGCTACCAGGATCACAATTTACTATTACAACTACTCTGACTGGGATACTATCCTGACATTCATTACGGGATCACGGGTGGACTTTTCTCTTTCTCTGTGGCCAGACGTGAGTAACCTACCATTTGGGCCATCTTAGGGAGGCTGTGTTTCTGTTTTAAATAATTTTAAATGTCATGTATGAGGTGATTTATCTTTATACTGTTTGATGTAATAAAATATGTTTTGTTATCTTGTACACTATTGAATTACTTGCTCACTGGATTGCTCCGCTAATGGGATTTCTATATTAAGGGGATTGTGCTTTTCGTATAAAAACCCAAACTTCATGGTTGTGGGGGAGGGTACTGAGGTCAGAGGAGTAATATGCTCGATCAGTAAATCTGTTGGGAGCAGTGGAGCGAGCTGGGGCATGGCTTGCCACATGCTGTTTGAGTCTCTGGATGCACACAGCTAGGTGCAGACACAGCCGGGAAAGTGAACACATGGGTGTCTCCTCAGCAGCCGACTAGCCGATGGAGACATCCCCAAACAGGCATGTGAGCTAGCCATTTGGGGACCAGCTAAAGAACGAGAAAAAAAAGGAAAATTTTAAAAAATAAGAAAAATTAATTAATGTAAGTGTGGGCAAAACAAAGGTTTAATATCCCATTAACTTCTATTTTGTATAGTACATGTATCATTCTAGCTAGGACCTCTGTGGCCTAATTACAAAGTCTGAAGAAAATAGCAGCAATCAGTTTCATGTAAAATGTTGATAGGCAAAGCCTGAACAAACAATGTTTGCCTCAGAGATTCTGTTTTTTTTTTCTGTTCAATAGTTTTTTATTGTTGCAAATAAACAGAGATTTACACAAACAAATTTTTGGTGTAAAAAAATGGTTGTACAATAACATGGAGTAAGAACGGATCAAATACTTGAAGTACATTTGACGTTAGTAACAGTTCTTGGAGAGATAATTAACAGAAGGATTTACATATGTTTGATATGAAGATTCTGTTTTGTCATTCAGTGAGCTTATCTGGATACTTACAAGTGCTTTAAGAATTAAAGTGTATTTCCACTTCTGCAGCCACATTAGTACAGTTGTATAACACCTATTTTATATGTTCCCATTCACATATCATAACTTAAACAAATATTTAAACGTTGCTGCTCTTAAAGAAGTCTCAGCCTAACTCCTTCATTATATGTTTCTTTTTATCCCATGCTTCTATGTGCAGTAGAAAAAGAGATACAGACTTTGACAGCTCAGTCCTCTTCATTCATGACCATGCTCTGCAAAGGAGATTGACTCATGATTACCAGCTCTTATCTCACTGTCCCTGCACTTTCCAGACACAAGTGAGGTCCCAAGAATACGGGGGGGGGAGGGCATACTATCACAGAAATCAGCATAGGCATTAGAACCGAAAAGAGAGCCTTGTTTTGTGTTGGGAATGGGCAGAGATAGTAATATAAGAGCTGACAATCAAGAAGTTATCTCATTTGCAGATCATGGTCAGGAATGAAGAGGAGTGAACTGTCAAAGTCTGCAACTTTTTTCTACTGCACACAGAAGCATGGGGTGAAAAATAACATATACTGTGGAAGTTAGGTGACTGAGCTGTAAAAAATAATACAAGGTGGGACTTTTTCTTTAAGTTCTTTTTACTTGCTTTAAAATCTTACCTAGCTTCCCCCTCTGTAATCTTAAGGAGGTGGACGGGGGCAGTTATGATTACTTTAATTAACACGGTCTGTACTGTCCTGGCAGATCTTATTATTAGTTATACACTAGATTTGAACACTGTCTGTCCTAAAAAAGGGTTAAAGACTTAGAAGAATTGTATGTTAATGAGAGGAAGCTCAGTATGTCCCTCAGTTTATCGAGCTACTTCTTTCAAAGCCTGGAATCTGCGCAAAGGCCTTCATGAAAAGAACATACCAAAGGTAAGAAGTATGTTTTTACCAATTCTTTTGTAGGTATGATGTGTGAATGGGAAAATATAACATATAGTAGTGTTTTCTCAAATCTGACTGCAGAAGTAGAAATACACTTTGAAGTAAGCTGACACTGGGTATCCTTACTTACTTATAATAATGCACTGCAAAGAAGTAAAAAGGGCCCTAAAGGAAAATTTCGATCAAGAGACCAAAAGGATTAGGAACAGTGGTAAAAGAGCAGGCTAAAATTCAAATGTGTGCACATGTTTGTTGGAGTTAGAGGCATGGACAGTTGTATACAGTACATACTGAATATGTTTTTCCCTAGTATTGATCGAATCAGAATAGCTGATTAATATATTTTTGACATACCCTAGTTTTTCCCATACAGATTTGTTAAAGTATATGTTACCCCAAAATTATAGTTTTCATGTACATGTCAGCTATTCTGTGACTATGTTTGTACTGATTTCAGTTTTTATTCATCCGTTTTCTGACAAATACCTGGTGATCCTGCTAGTCCCCCTTCTGTTGCAAACAGACCACACAAAGCATGGAAGCACATCTGAGCTGGTGTGGTCAGTTGTGTAGATGGGCTTCCTTCTTGGAGATACAGGACACCATGTAAACACATAGCATACCTGTATCTCCCATAGTCAATATTGCCAGCCACTCCTCCTGCCCAGCTCATGCGAGGGGGTGTGGCATATAGGTGTGTGTCCGGCCACAGTTGCTCATAAGTAGTACAACAACAGAGTTGAGTATAGCCAGCCACACCCCCTACTCAGTCCCTGCTGTTTTGATGGACAGCGGGGCACCTGATGGGAGCCATTGTACCAATACAAGAGGATTATGTTGGGGCAGGAATGGCTGTACTCAACTTTGCTGCTCTACAAGTTATGAGCAGCTGCAGCCAGCCATACCCCCCACCCAGTTCTGTTGTGTTGATACAACCGCTTATACCAGTAGACTTGCTGTTGGCCAACAAAGCAGACACTAAGTGGGGTGTGGTTGGCAGCAGCTGCTCATAGCTAGTGCAGCAGAAGAGTGGTCAATGTAACATAAAACATGGCCAAACCACTACTGGGCATGCCCCCTGCTATGAAAGAAGAACCCAGAGGGATGCTGTGCACTCACTTGACTGCAAAATAAAATCTAAATAAAAGGTACCTAACAATTATTATTTAGAATAGAAATGTGGTTATAGTTACCAAATACTATTTGCTGATTTCCTATGGTTTTACTGAGTGCTTTGTTCACAAATACTTTAAATTGTTAGAGAAGGGTATGGTGGTCTCCTGAATCTCATTGTACTTATAGTACAGTATGTGGTTATTCTAAGTAAAAATATCAAACAGCGGAATTCTCTAATAATTAATGAAGGACCCTGTTTAGCAATATTTTAGAAAGGCGACAACTTTTTTGCTGATTAGAGGGTCACTATGGCTGTAATAGCCACATGTGATATGAGCTGTGATCTGTGTGTGGACAATATTTTTCTGTATGCCATATTTGCATAGGTTTGAACTTGGACAAAGGTTTGCTCCCATCATTTATCAAGGGCTTTCTCTATCTGCAGAATGAGTATAAACACTATAAGGGTTAATTTACTACAAGGGTAGATACTGTTCACATAGCAAATACATGCTCACTGAGTTTAGCAAATAAAGTGTAGCTTTGCTCACTCCAGTCATCCAGTAATGTTCAAGAAAAGAACTTTCATGTTCACTTTAAATGCCCAGATGTGTGCTAGAAAAAAAAAATGTATTTCCCTCAGATGATTGGATAGTCAAAGTCAATACAGCTTTACTATATGTAAACTCTCACTTTGCTAATAAACAGCCTCTACTTATTGAGTAGATCAACCCAGTTAATTGACCATATTTAGTTAATTTAAAAAAATAATAATGTACAAAAAAACATTTTTACAAAGGTTTTTTTTCAGAATTCACAGCTCAGCTTTGTTGTCAATATGTAGATTTGCATTTTAAAGTCTACACATGTAAAAGGTGAATAGGAATTGCACTTACTTGATCTTATTTTTTCAGCATCCAATGAGTGCCTCATTGAAAACCCTGCATTTGTCATCTACTCCTCTGTTGTATCCTTCTATGTCCCCTTTATTGTCACACTCCTGGTATATGTCCAGATTTATATAGTTCTGCAAAAGCGAAGAAAGAGGGTAAACACCAAGCGCAACAGTCGTGGAGTGGAGACGAATGCCATCAAGGTAAATGATTTATACAGATAAAATATATACAATATTATTCTGTAACATACAGTAAATACATTGCATGTCATAGTATAATAAAATAAGTTGTTACCCTAATTTCTAATTCCGAGCCTGGAGGATGTGAATACCTCCTTTTGTCTGGCTTATGACAGTTTTTTGGTGGCTGTGCTAATAGTCATGCTACTGTTGGTATACTGTAGCTTTCAGAATCATATTACCTAGTATGCCTCACTGCTACATCAAAGTAGGGGTACCAAAATACCCATCACCCAGATACTCAAAATTATTGCTGCTAAGACATGAAGTTATCATGGTGCCATCATCTATAACTTCAGACATCTCTGTTACTCTCACACTATTGTTGGTTAGATATCACAACGAGCACTGGTAGTACCTGCAAATACTTTGGGAGTTTAAACCTTGAATCTTTTTTAAGTTAGGTGATTTGCAGAAGAGCCAGGTATAGCACTGTGAGAATTTGGTTAATTTAGGGGGAAGTGTCATATCAGATGGTTTTGAATACAGAAGGATCTCCACAACTCTTTTGAGGTGGAAGCCCAGGCAAAAATGAAAATCACTCTGTGATTATTGTTATTGTTCAAAACCACATTGATATAATCATAACGTTCACAATCCTTTGCTATTATAGAGTTAGTATCTGTTGATTCAACTAGTTCTCTGTTCACCATGTGACTTGTAGTGTTGGGTCGACAATGCTATGTATTTAGCATCAAAATGGAGAATGCATTAGTATTGTCAGGACCCAGAAAATGTTTCTTTCTGAAGAAAGCTCAGGCAATACCCATCCCATTGTAAATTGTCCCTCTGCACTTTGTCTTTTGGGAGCAATTAGAGACATCTTGTCCTTGGCCTTTTTTAGGTCCCTATAAAAGTCTACATTTATCACCTGCAGAGGATAGGACATTGCTGGAGGGTTTGCACTTGTGTGACTGCAGGCGAAGCTGGAAAACAGGCATTTAGGGAGGGATTTTTTAAAATTCTTAATTAACTAAGAAGAAAATAGAGTACAAGCAATGCAAAACAAGATAAAAAAAGGAGAATTAGACTTCCATAACACAATGTCCAGTACAATAAGACAAAAGTAACAGATATCATAAACTCAAACTCAGAGTATGTTGTGAGTAATAGAAGAAAAACATAGCAACAATGGCAGAAGTATGTCGGTGGGCGGATCCCATGTACATCGTACGCAAATCAATCAAGACCGCAGCATTTCATAAACAAAGGAAAGGACCCCTGTGAAGTAGTCAAGACAAAAAGGTGAAAAGAGGGAAAAAAGGGAAGCAAGTCAAAGCATGGGGCAATTAAATTAGTATAAGCCAAGTGAGAAGATAGTAAGCAAAAGGGAAAAGATCCAATAAGAAGGGAATCTGGGCCATCTCCTCCAACTCCCTAGACTGAAGGAAAAATGACAACGCCCTTAGTCTATCTGTGGGAACCATAACACAGCAAAGTATTCAGTCCAAGTGACAGCTGGTAAAGGGGATCTACAGGGTCACCTAATGGGCCATTAGCTGAGTGTAGTTCTCAAAGTATCAGAAATAAATCTAAGCATCCCAGGTTGAAGAGAACTTATCCTCTGTGTTTCACAGGGAGGCAGTCATACCCTCCATGACCTACATAGTATACACCTTAGAGAGCCACATTCCAACAGTAGGAGGATTAAGGCCCTTCCAGAGCAGTGGGATTCCTGCCCTGGCAGCATTCAAAAGGTGATGGGTAAGTGAATACTTGTATTTGGCGAGGACATATGCAATGAACAGGCTGCTGGGTTGTTTCTGAGATCTACCATGGTCAATTGTTCCACAGTGGTCAGAACCTGGTCCCAGAGGCACCTCAACTTTGGACAGGACCAAAAAATGTGTAGCATCGTACCTGAATACGAAGCACATCTCCAAGATCGATCCGAGATGGAGGGGATCATTTTATGCAAAAGCCATGATATTCTGTACAACAGTGAGACTATCTTAGGATTTTAAACACAATGAATGAAGATTGTGACTAGGGATAAGAAAGTGACTGGGGTGTATTTTCCATATTGTCTTTCCATTTAATTTAATTAAGGCAGGAAGGATTTTTTTGTAACTTTTGATAGAATATGTAAGAGTCATGACTGCTTACCAAATTTTTATTGCTAACAACAGGGAGGCAAAGAAACCAGCTAATAACCCACTGTAGTCATTGATTTAACTCCATGTTCCATTAATTAAAACATTTTTAGGCTTCTCTTTTGGGCATATTAATTTCTGAGTAAGTTAATTTGTTGGATACCTTTGAAGCTTCTTTTGCAACCCTGTTCAAGCTGAAAAAAAACCTGTTGCCAAGTCTTCCAGCATCTAGATTGAATTATCAGTTCAAGATTGATGCCTGCATTTACCATTTTCATTGTGATGAGTTTATGATGTTTCAACCTAAATTTTAAATGTTAACATAAATAAAATAATTTCCCAAAATAAATGTAATATACATCATAGATTATAATTAATTTAAACTTTACATGAGATGATGAACATTAATGTTTTTGATATAACAGACATGTATGTTTACATCTTTCAGTCAGATTTCTATTACTGTCTGTGTCCTTTTTGAAGATATTGGGGTTAATTTACTAAAGGCAAATAGGCTATTCACTTTGCATGGAAATTTGCACATTGAAGGGTATGTTTCCCTGAGCAAGGGGAATTAAAAAAAAAAACAGTATTTTTGCTTGCACATGATTTCACCTAATTCACTAAGCTAAGAGAAGCTTCCAATAGCAGTGACAGAAAGTGGTGGGAGATCTCTCCAAAGGTGACAGGCTAACAGTAGATTTTAAGTAATGTGTGAGATGCGTATTGCTGTCTATGTCTTCCTATTCTGGTGACACTTCTTCTCTTGTCTTGTCTATTGCTTGTCCTGGTGTCACAGGAACAGAAAACAAGGGAACATCTCCTCAATGGCTATTTCCAACTGTACCCTTAACTAAAAAAATGTTTTGACTGTAGTTGGGCTTATTGAGCATTGGGTGTGCTTATTATTACCCACACACATTGTCCAGTGTGTCAACGTCTTTGTAAATTGTCAGTGATTATTTCTTTAAAAATAAATAAAATAACTAAATACAATAAAATAAATTAACCAGTCCTATTTTTTGAGTTGCATCCATAGTGTAATGATTTAGAACACCTCTTATGAACCCAAATATTTTTATTCCTCTTTATTTTAGCTTATATCTGTTTAGGGTTTAATCACCTCCATAACTAACCCTACTAGTAATCTATAAAAATATTGATAGCCATCCTAAATTGTTTTAAATTGAACCCTCTATCTTTTTGCGTTTTATAAAGCAGAAAGTCATATTACAAAATATAACTGCACTAAATTCTTCACAATAAGAAGAATACCTTTGAAAGGTTGTATCTGCATGTAAGATGATGTCATCAGGAACACAGTGTGATGATGTCACCACAATGGATGGACTATACCGCTAGTGATTTTTGCAAAGGAGGAATGATTAATTTTTTTATTGAGTTGCTTAGGAAAAATGCTTTAATACTCTTTATTTAGGGAGGTGTATATAGGGTAGTTTAGTTTATTTAATTTAGTGTTCTTTGCAGTTGTGTTTTTTCTTACCTTTTTTTGTATTTGTTATTTGTATACTGTTACTGCCAGCCAGCCGAAGTATATGCTGGACTGAGACGAAGACACAACTGAAGCAGGGAGAACGGTCTGCCAAGCACAAAAAAGGGGGGAAAAAGTGTGGTCCCCCAAAAATTCCCAACCAGGCCCTTAATCTGAGCACTGGCAGGGCAGGAAAGGGGGGACAAGCGAGTGCTCCCCCACCCCATACCAGGCCAAATGCCCTTGGGGACGCCTGGAAAAGCACCTTGTCCTCATGCCGATGGGGACAAGGGTCTCTTCCCCACAACCCTGATCCAGTGGTTGTGGGGTCTTCGGCAGGGGGCTTATTCGCATCGGGGTAACCCTTTCTTAAAGGAGGCACCCAGATGCTGCCACCATTGTGAATGAGTAAGAGGTACTTATACCCCTACTCATTCACTAAGGGGTTAACAAAAATGTATATAAAAAGACCAGACTTTTAGAAAAAAATCCTGTAATTGAAAAAAAAAGTATTTGACAATTCCTTTAATTAAAAAGCCAAAAAATTCCCAAAAATGATCCAACAAGGTAATCCAAGATTAATTACATTGTCCAGCAATATCCACACCGCCGCCGACTCATAAAAATAAAAAAGATTCTGACACACGCTGGCCCGACCACACGAGATGAACTCCCGCCGCAAAATAAAATTCTGACAGGTGGTGGCCGAATGTAAACAAATGGGAGAAGTCAACCGTGACATCATGGCTGGCTCCTCCCATTTATTGTCATACAATGACAGGCCACTGTCCTCTTGTAACGCTACACAGATAAAGTTATGGTATCTCAACTTATGCAGCATGGGGTATTAACTCATACAGCCATCTAGTGGTGCATGTGGGGGTTTACACGTGCAAGGGGAGAACTGTGCAGCAACTTTAATGGCAACAGGAAATACTAACACATTCAGTATTGAGTAAGTATATACAGGCAACAGTTCAGTGACAGCATCTATTGTGGCAGCAAGCAACACTGACACAACGGCTATACTAGGTATGTGAAGTTGTTGAGGTTTAGCACAATAGTTGGTATTGAGTATTCAGTATTGAGTAAGTATATACAGGCAACAGTTCAGTGATGCTGACATAGGTAATTACTGATACAGTAGTTATAGGGTACTTGCGGTTGGTAATTGTCAGCAGCAAGGAGTCAGTAGCTGAGGATGCGTGATTCAGCCGACCACTGCCAGGGGAGGCGGCAGCAGTAGTGAGCAGGAGCTCCATTGTAATTCCCCACAGGGAGATGCCTGTATGTTCGCTCTCACAGTGTCTAAGGCTGTGAGTTCCTGGTAACTGCAGGAGGTGATTGTTCAGCATTCACCCTTCCATAGTAAGACGCCAAACAATCATAACCGCCACGGCTTTAAGCAGCCAGCTGACGTGCGGGCTGAGGAGTCGGATGATGAGCTGGGCATGTCTGGTTACGGTGGGTGGCGCTGGAGCGACCCGAGGTAAGCCTGGTATACCTCTGCCCGCTTGTGCCCCCTTTCCTGCCCTGCCAGGCCAGTGCTCAGATTAAGGGTCTGGTTGAAAATTTTAGGGGGACCCCATGTTTTGTTTGCCATTTTTGGGTGGTGGGGTTCCTCCTTTCACCCCAGACCCTAAGAGTCTTACATGACTTTGGGGGGGAAACCCCACACAGTTTTTTCTTATTTTTAACTCGGGAGGTCCCTCCTAACATTCCTACCAGACCTAAAGGGTCTGGTAGGAATTGGGAGGGGGGCTCCATGCTAGTTTTAATTTTTTTTCTTTTGTTTACATTTTTTTATTCTGCTAACTACCTCCAAGGTGGCGAGCAGAATAACCAAGCTGAATAACTTTCGGCTATTCACTCACTGCTGTTTAGCCCCTATGAGAATAGGGATGATAATCAGAGACTGAACCACCGTACGCTCGCCTCAGCCGATGCAGATGTTGGATCAGCTGAGGTGAACATGTAAGATTTCTATTACTGTCTGTGTCCTTTTTGAAGATATTGGGGTTAATTTACTAAAGGCAAATAGGCTATTCACTTTGCATGGAAATTTGCACATTGAAGGGTATGTTTCCCTGAGCAAGGGGAATTAAAAAAAAAAACAGTATTTTTGCTTGCACATGATTTCACCTAATTCACTAAGCTAAGAGAAGCTTCCAATAGCAGTGACAGAAAGTGGTGGGAGATCTCTCCAAAGGTGACAGGCTAACAGTAGATTTTAAGTAATGTGTGAGATGCGTATTGCTGTCTATGTCTTCCTATTCTGGTGACACTTCTTCTCTTGTCTTGTCTATTGCTTGTCCTGGTGTCACAGGAACAGAAAACAAGGGAACATCTCCTCAATGGCTATTTCCAACTGTACCCTTAACTAAAAAAATGTTTTGACTGTAGTTGGGCTTATTGAGCATTGGGTGTGCTTATTATTACCCACACACATTGTCCAGTGTGTCAACGTCTTTGTAAATTGTCAGTGATTATTTCTTTAAAAATAAATAAAATAACTAAATACAATAAAATAAATTAACCAGTCCTATTTTTTGAGTTGCATCCATAGTGTAATGATTTAGAACACCTCTTATGAACCCAAATATTTTTATTCCTCTTTATTTTAGCTTATATCTGTTTAGGGTTTAATCACCTCCATAACTAACCCTACTAGTAATCTATAAAAATATTGATAGCCATCCTAAATTGTTTTAAATTGAACCCTCTATCTTTTTGCGTTTTATAAAGCAGAAAGTCATATTACAAAATATAACTGCACTAAATTCTTCACAATAAGAAGAATACCTTTGAAAGGTTGTATCTGCATGTAAGATGATGTCATCAGGAACACAGTGTGATGATGTCACCACAATGGATGGACTATACCGCTAGTGATTTTTGCAAAGGAGGAATGATTAATTTTTTTATTGAGTTGCTTAGGAAAAATGCTTTAATACTCTTTATTTAGGGAGGTGTATATAGGGTAGTTTAGTTTATTTAATTTAGTGTTCTTTGCAGTTGTGTTTTTTCTTACCTTTTTTTGTATTTGTTATTTGTATACTGTTACTGCCAGCCAGCCGAAGTATATGCTGGACTGAGACGAAGACACAACTGAAGCAGGGAGAACGGTCTGCCAAGCACAAAAAAGGGGGGAAAAAGTGTGGTCCCCCAAAAATTCCCAACCAGGCCCTTAATCTGAGCACTGGCAGGGCAGGAAAGGGGGGACAAGCGAGTGCTCCCCCACCCCATACCAGGCCAAATGCCCTTGGGGACGCCTGGAAAAGCACCTTGTCCTCATGCCGATGGGGACAAGGGTCTCTTCCCCACAACCCTGATCCAGTGGTTGTGGGGTCTTCGGCAGGGGGCTTATTCGCATCGGGGTAACCCTTTCTTAAAGGAGGCACCCAGATGCTGCCACCATTGTGAATGAGTAAGAGGTACTTATACCCCTACTCATTCACTAAGGGGTTAACAAAAATGTATATAAAAAGACCAGACTTTTAGAAAAAAATCCTGTAATTGAAAAAAAAAGTATTTGACAATTCCTTTAATTAAAAAGCCAAAAAATTCCCAAAAATGATCCAACAAGGTAATCCAAGATTAATTACATTGTCCAGCAATATCCACACCGCCGCCGACTCATAAAAATAAAAAAGATTCTGACACACGCTGGCCCGACCACACGAGATGAACTCCCGCCGCAAAATAAAATTCTGACAGGTGGTGGCCGAATGTAAACAAATGGGAGAAGTCAACCGTGACATCATGGCTGGCTCCTCCCATTTATTGTCATACAATGACAGGCCACTGTCCTCTTGTAACGCTACACAGATAAAGTTATGGTATCTCAACTTATGCAGCATGGGGTATTAACTCATACAGCCATCTAGTGGTGCATGTGGGGGTTTACACGTGCAAGGGGAGAACTGTGCAGCAACTTTAATGGCAACAGGAAATACTAACACATTCAGTATTGAGTAAGTATATACAGGCAACAGTTCAGTGACAGCATCTATTGTGGCAGCAAGCAACACTGACACAACGGCTATACTAGGTATGTGAAGTTGTTGAGGTTTAGCACAATAGTTGGTATTGAGTATTCAGTATTGAGTAAGTATATACAGGCAACAGTTCAGTGATGCTGACAGAGGTAACTACTGATACAGTAGTTATAGGGTACTTGCGGTTGGTAATTGTCAGCAGCAAGGAGTCAGTAGCTGAGGATGCGTGATTCAGCCGACCACTGCCAGGGGAGGCGGCAGCAGTAGTGAGCAGGAGCTCCATTGTAATTCCCCACAGGGAGATGCCTGTATGTTCGCTCTCACAGTGTCTAAGGCTGTGAGTTCCTGGTAACTGCAGGAGGTGATTGTTCAGCATTCACCCTTCCATAGTAAGACGCCAAACAATCATAACCGCCACGGCTTTAAGCAGCCAGCTGACGTGCGGGCTGAGGAGTCGGATGATGAGCTGGGCATGTCTGGTTACGGTGGGTGGCGCTGGAGCGACCCGAGGTAAGCCTGGTATACCTCTGCCCGCTTGTGCCCCCTTTCCTGCCCTGCCAGGCCAGTGCTCAGATTAAGGGTCTGGTTGAAAATTTTAGGGGGACCCCATGTTTTGTTTGCCATTTTTGGGTGGTGGGGTTCCTCCTTTCACCCCAGACCCTAAGAGTCTTACATGACTTTGGGGGGGAAACCCCACACAGTTTTTTCTTATTTTTAACTCGGGAGGTCCCTCCTAACATTCCTACCAGACCTAAAGGGTCTGGTAGGAATTGGGAGGGGGGCTCCATGCTAGTTTTAATTTTTTTTCTTTTGTTTACATTTTTTTATTCTGCTAACTACCTCCAAGGTGGCGAGCAGAATAACCAAGCTGAATAACTTTCGGCTATTCACTCACTGCTGTTTAGCCCCTATGAGAATAGGGATGATAATCAGAGACTGAACCACCGTACGCTCGCCTCAGCCGATGCAGATGTTGGATCAGCTGAGGTGAACATGTTCTTCATTTTGGCTCAGCCGAACCAAAGTGAAGAGAAGGATGCTGAAGGCATCCGATTTATGGCTGTTTTCAGCTGTACAGGGCTGAAGTGAATAACAAAACAGCGTGTGGCTCCCTTTGCTTTGGGTTGGTTATTTACCCGACTGCCTTAGGCAGCTTAGTGAATAAACCCCTAAATATCATCCAGTTTGGGTTGTCATCTACTTCATGCACTGAACTGCAATGTGTACATAGACAGCTAGCTATGTCAGAAGGAGAGTCAATCAGCAATTATTTTCTTTAATGTAAAGGGATTATACAAAGCTTCCAGAATTTGTTTTCTGCCTTTAGAATTCTCTAAAAACAAATATTGCCTTTTCCCTGAAATAACAAAGGCAGACATTCCTACACAATTTACTAACCAACCACATTCTTTGTACAACCATAAGAGGGAGCTCATATTGATTGAGCAGTGTACCTTTTGTTTAAAGTGTCACTGTTTCATGAACTAGTAGTGTGTGACTTACCATTAATAATACAGTTTGTACACCCACAAAACAATTGTGTATGTAAGTACATGTGTCTCAATAGACTTCAAACTGGGTGATATTTAAGGCAATAATAATAATTTAGCTGCACAAAAAAGTTCTCATAGAACCACTTTGGAAGTCAATCAAATGCTGATCCTTTCACTTCCAGCATTAAATGTTTTGTTTCTTAGGACAAATGCACTCATCCAGAAGATGTGAAGCTGTGCGCTGTCTTTGTTAAATCCAACGGGAGTTTCCCAGCTAATAAAAAGAAAGTGGTAAGTATTATAACACAGATTGAAGCATTTTCTAAGTGTCAATTACTGTATTGGAATGCAAGAATTCTGGTCATACAACAGGCTTTTTGATCTGAGACTGGCAATACAAGGTTACACAAGGAACCTCAAGGTTCATTGTTAAAGTAATAATATAACTAAGGCATATTTGACACAGCCAGCTATTACAATCAGGCATAATAGCATAGAAAAAAGTTATGGTCAAGAGGGTTGTCAGAAATACACAAATTCATCATCACATACTTATACCATATGATTTCAAAGAATATGTTTAGAATAGTTAAACAAATCAGCACATGCATTCAATGGAAAATAAACAAATGGCATTTTTCTGAAAATCAACTATATTATTTGACTATAAAGCAGTTGAGTACTGTCTGTGAGATGTTTATAATTTGTAATAATAGTTAATTCCAAGATCAGCCCCTTCTTCTAGATCTTAGTGGTACTGATACACAGAGGTTTATCAAAATCCCTAAGTCTGACTATAAAGCAAAACGCCGCTCTAGTGGAATATTGGCGTCTAAGCTTCAGTAAAAAAAAAATGCACACAGTTATGACAAACATTACTGTACAATCATCTTTGGGCTGATGCATGGTCTTGCAGCTTTATGGTATCAGTGCCGAATGAAAGGGCCCTTTTTATATATGTTTTCCCTCTCATCCTGCTATAAATCTGCTTACATTCCAGACACTTGCAGGGAATCCAGCAGATGTGCTGAGGGGGTACTACAAAGTGATGCTGAAATGATATCACTATGCCATCTTATTGACAGTTGCTGGGATGGTATCCATTTCTTCTCCTCGGAGATACATTTCTGACAACATGCAAGGAAGATTTGAGGCACTGGCTCTTTGTATAATGGTTGTTTCCATGTTACATGATGCCCACCAACTCAGCTAGCATGATAAGTAACCCATTGGTACAGGATTGGTCTGCCTAGTGGTGTACCTAGGGGGATTCCCCAGATACCTTCATGTTGGGGGAGGCTCTACAGGACTACCCCTAAAAGCCCTATTAGATCTCAGATAAAATGGTGGGGCAGAGCCAGGAGAAGCTCAGAACATCCCCTACTGTTCCTGAGACCACTGTATCTAATGTCTGGTAATTGTCTCAATGTAAGGTCTAGGTTTTCTTAGGTAGGGTAATTTTTTGCTGGTTGCGGAGTTTAATTTTCTCCTATCGACATATTTGAAAGTTTGAAAATAAGTAACTCACATCCACTTTCATAAATTGCCACCAAATGATAATTCCTTCAAGTAAACCTGTAGCCAAGCTATGAGCATTCAAATAATTACATATCCTTGACAAGAAGTAAATTAGCTTTCAAACAAGCCATCGCTCATCTCTGTCACTGCAGGCACTGTGTAGCAATTAATCTTCAATGTGCACAGCAGAAGCACCCAAATCATTTAAATTGTTCTCTCAGACAACTTAGCTCACCCTAAATAGGAAATGTGCAAGACATCACCAAATCTCATATCAACTTAGCAAATACTCTTGCTGAGAGTGAAAACATTCACAGGATGCTGATAGCTTAACCCTTTTGTGACTAGAGATGTCCTATCCAAATGTAACAGCATCAGTATATATCAGTTAACGTCTCAATGACTTTATGATTATTCAAAATCTTTAAAAAGTAAAATTACTCTGATTGCTAGATGCTACCTGTAAAAGGAAATGGTTAAATAAACTTTCCGTCAACATGTGGCGTAGGGCATGGGAATATTAAGCTGCAGATTGCAGGTGGGAAATTATTTATTTGTCATTAGCCATTAGTCTATGGCAAGCAGCTCTCACAACTTTACACATATAGCTACTGTTAAATATTTCATAAGTAAAATAAGTGGTGTGGCAAAATATGCTACTTTTTTGTTTGATCATATAACTGCAAAGTAATTCATTACATTGCAGACTGGTTTAGTTCCCTTTTAATGTAAGAAATTGAATATGCAATTGTAATGTCAGGTGGTGTAATTTTGCAGTTAAAGTGTATATTTGTCTGAATCCAGACCAATAATGAACAAGTTATCCTATAATGACATCTGACTTTACACCGTCTGCTAAAACTATTGTCAGCATGATCATAAGGTGTATTGACATGGCAGCATTTTAAAATAAATGGTTCCACAATGCAGTAACACAAGTGCTCATGCAGTAATGTGTGCAATAACACACTGAGGAAGTGTAAAGCCCCTGACACACTGCATGCAAAGCCGCGCGGAGCAAAGCAAAGCTGTAAGGCATGGGGGTTCGCGTGCAGTGTCTGAACTGGGCGCGGCCAGATATAAGACTGCATCTTCAGTTAATCAGCTTGCGTGTGACAACCAAATGGACTTCGCACTGTTTAGCCCCTATGAGAATAGGGATGATAATCAGAGACTGAACCACCGTACGCTCGCCTCAGCCGATGCAGATGTTGGATCAGCTGAGGTGAACATGTTCTTCATTTTGGCTCAGCCGAACCAAAGTGAAGAGAAGGATGCTGAAGGCATCCGATTTATGGCTGTTTTCAGCTGTACAGGGCTGAAGTGAATAACAAAACAGCGTGTGGCTCCCTTTGCTTTGGGTTGGTTATTTACCCGACTGCCTTAGGCAGCTTAGTGAATAAACCCCTAAATATCATCCAGTTTGGGTTGTCATCTACTTCATGCACTGAACTGCAATGTGTACATAGACAGCTAGCTATGTCAGAAGGAGAGTCAATCAGCAATTATTTTCTTTAATGTAAAGGGATTATACAAAGCTTCCAGAATTTGTTTTCTGCCTTTAGAATTCTCTAAAAACAAATATTGCCTTTTCCCTGAAATAACAAAGGCAGACATTCCTACACAATTTACTAACCAACCACATTCTTTGTACAACCATAAGAGGGAGCTCATATTGATTGAGCAGTGTACCTTTTGTTTAAAGTGTCACTGTTTCATGAACTAGTAGTGTGTGACTTACCATTAATAATACAGTTTGTACACCCACAAAACAATTGTGTATGTAAGTACATGTGTCTCAATAGACTTCAAACTGGGTGATATTTAAGGCAATAATAATAATTTAGCTGCACAAAAAAGTTCTCATAGAACCACTTTGGAAGTCAATCAAATGCTGATCCTTTCACTTCCAGCATTAAATGTTTTGTTTCTTAGGACAAATGCACTCATCCAGAAGATGTGAAGCTGTGCGCTGTCTTTGTTAAATCCAACGGGAGTTTCCCAGCTAATAAAAAGAAAGTGGTAAGTATTATAACACAGATTGAAGCATTTTCTAAGTGTCAATTACTGTATTGGAATGCAAGAATTCTGGTCATACAACAGGCTTTTTGATCTGAGACTGGCAATACAAGGTTACACAAGGAACCTCAAGGTTCATTGTTAAAGTAATAATATAACTAAGGCATATTTGACACAGCCAGCTATTACAATCAGGCATAATAGCATAGAAAAAAGTTATGGTCAAGAGGGTTGTCAGAAATACACAAATTCATCATCACATACTTATACCATATGATTTCAAAGAATATGTTTAGAATAGTTAAACAAATCAGCACATGCATTCAATGGAAAATAAACAAATGGCATTTTTCTGAAAATCAACTATATTATTTGACTATAAAGCAGTTGAGTACTGTCTGTGAGATGTTTATAATTTGTAATAATAGTTAATTCCAAGATCAGCCCCTTCTTCTAGATCTTAGTGGTACTGATACACAGAGGTTTATCAAAATCCCTAAGTCTGACTATAAAGCAAAACGCCGCTCTAGTGGAATATTGGCGTCTAAGCTTCAGTAAAAAAAAAATGCACACAGTTATGACAAACATTACTGTACAATCATCTTTGGGCTGATGCATGGTCTTGCAGCTTTATGGTATCAGTGCCGAATGAAAGGGCCCTTTTTATATATGTTTTCCCTCTCATCCTGCTATAAATCTGCTTACATTCCAGACACTTGCAGGGAATCCAGCAGATGTGCTGAGGGGGTACTACAAAGTGATGCTGAAATGATATCACTATGCCATCTTATTGACAGTTGCTGGGATGGTATCCATTTCTTCTCCTCGGAGATACATTTCTGACAACATGCAAGGAAGATTTGAGGCACTGGCTCTTTGTATAATGGTTGTTTCCATGTTACATGATGCCCACCAACTCAGCTAGCATGATAAGTAACCCATTGGTACAGGATTGGTCTGCCTAGTGGTGTACCTAGGGGGATTCCCCAGATACCTTCATGTTGGGGGAGGCTCTACAGGACTACCCCTAAAAGCCCTATTAGATCTCAGATAAAATGGTGGGGCAGAGCCAGGAGAAGCTCAGAACATCCCCTACTGTTCCTGAGACCACTGTATCTAATGTCTGGTAATTGTCTCAATGTAAGGTCTAGGTTTTCTTAGGTAGGGTAATTTTTTGCTGGTTGCGGAGTTTAATTTTCTCCTATCGACATATTTGAAAGTTTGAAAATAAGTAACTCACATCCACTTTCATAAATTGCCACCAAATGATAATTCCTTCAAGTAAACCTGTAGCCAAGCTATGAGCATTCAAATAATTACATATCCTTGACAAGAAGTAAATTAGCTTTCAAACAAGCCATCGCTCATCTCTGTCACTGCAGGCACTGTGTAGCAATTAATCTTCAATGTGCACAGCAGAAGCACCCAAATCATTTAAATTGTTCTCTCAGACAACTTAGCTCACCCTAAATAGGAAATGTGCAAGACATCACCAAATCTCATATCAACTTAGCAAATACTCTTGCTGAGAGTGAAAACATTCACAGGATGCTGATAGCTTAACCCTTTTGTGACTAGAGATGTCCTATCCAAATGTAACAGCATCAGTATATATCAGTTAACGTCTCAATGACTTTATGATTATTCAAAATCTTTAAAAAGTAAAATTACTCTGATTGCTAGATGCTACCTGTAAAAGGAAATGGTTAAATAAACTTTCCGTCAACATGTGGCGTAGGGCATGGGAATATTAAGCTGCAGATTGCAGGTGGGAAATTATTTATTTGTCATTAGCCATTAGTCTATGGCAAGCAGCTCTCACAACTTTACACATATAGCTACTGTTAAATATTTCATAAGTAAAATAAGTGGTGTGGCAAAATATGCTACTTTTTTGTTTGATCATATAACTGCAAAGTAATTCATTACATTGCAGACTGGTTTAGTTCCCTTTTAATGTAAGAAATTGAATATGCAATTGTAATGTCAGGTGGTGTAATTTTGCAGTTAAAGTGTATATTTGTCTGAATCCAGACCAATAATGAACAAGTTATCCTATAATGACATCTGACTTTACACCGTCTGCTAAAACTATTGTCAGCATGATCATAAGGTGTATTGACATGGCAGCATTTTAAAATAAATGGTTCCACAATGCAGTAACACAAGTGCTCATGCAGTAATGTGTGCAATAACACACTGAGGAAGTGTAAAGCCCCTGACACACTGCATGCAAAGCCGCGCGGAGCAAAGCAAAGCTGTAAGGCATGGGGGTTCGCGTGCAGTGTCTGAACTGGGCGCGGCCAGATATAAGACTGCATCTTCAGTTAATCAGCTTGCGTGTGACAACCAAATGGACTTCGCATCCTGAGGCGCAGATTTATACACACAAGCCGATTGGCTGAAGATGAAATACAATGTGTATTCTTATTTTCTGGAGGCCTACGCTATTTAACTGCCTCCGGGCCGGCCGTAGTAGAAAAACGGCCGGCCCGGAGCTCTCTAGATCTGAGCGGGCGTCTCTAGACGTCCGCTCAAACACGCCCCCTCGCGAGCGGGAAATTGCAGTTTTTTTAAAACAGGCAGCGATGCCTGATACCATACAAGCGATCCGCCGGCTTTAGAGCCGGCGGATCGCGTGTATGGGGTGCCGATCGGTG